AGGGGGGGGGGAGTTTGATCATCATGCTTGGGAAGAGTATGTTGTGAAGAAACAATAATCTAGTACATGTGGAAGGAATTCTAGGAGAAGTCTAGGGGCACAGTCGCTACCATTCCTACCTTTCGGCCCACCACGTGAGATCAAAGGATACAGCACGCACAGTCTTAACTCTTTCAAAACCAGGGCGAACCGTGCTGACAAAATGAGTTACTTCTTGGATCCAAGGCCTCATGGAAATAGAAACATATATACATAGAAACATATAGAACATAGAAATAGAAACATATATACATCACCCTAAAAGGTGAAGTTTTTACAATTTAATTTACAAGTACTTAATAATAGAAGTTATGTTATACTTGAAGAAAATGACACCCATAGATAAATGTACAGATTTGACCCTAGTGTCGATTTTTCGCCAATACCTATTTAAAATGTGTCAATTGCGAGAAGTAACTCGTTTTGTCAGCACACCTCACGGCTTCAGCGGTTTCGTCAAACCAACTTGTTGGGTTGTGTCGTTGGAGATTTAGCTGGATTAGGCTGTTGGGCTCGACGTTGTGCTCTTGAAAAAGGCACCTTTCTCGAATTTTCTTCACTTTACCCAGGTGGGAATGTGTACCCGATTATAGACAACGAAATATTTTGTCAGTTTGTTAGTGTTTGAGTTAGAGCGCTTAATCAGCTGCTTGCATTGTCTGATTCCCAGGAAGCCGAGAATGTCTCTTGGTGTTATAGGGTCTGCTAGGGCAATAATATAGATTGTTAAGTGCTTAGAGCTTGATGTTTTGCGGGGATAAGAGCGATACAATTAATGCTATTTATGAGATCTATAATTCTTAATTTATTATTGTAAATGGCAAGAGCTGCAGGTAGTGTTTTAAACCAGTTACGGGACTTGTTTGGTCAAATAAAGTCAACATGATGGAGAGAAAAAGTTTGTCAGTGTAAAGCGTTAACGCTCTTTTCAATGCGGTTAGTTAGTTATTTGAGAGGCAGGACCTCCTATCAGGCCGAGCTCTTTGGGTTGAATGTTGGAAGTCTTGAAAACTACACAGAACAAAGAACACCCCTTTTGGGGATTTGAACCATGGCTGTCCTCTTCATAGATCAGTATGGCACCAACTGAGCTGACAGAGGACAAAGACATAATGAGAAACATCAACATAAAAACTACAAAATAAGATGTAAGAAGATGGCGTACAGAATGGGTCTTCGCAACGAAAAAAGACTGTTTTGCAAACGAGGTGACATCATATCGACGACATAAAATAATCCTAGAATCGATACAGGCGCTACACCATACTACCGCAGTGAGGGAGGTGTAGTGGTTAGGCCCTTCGCCGTCACAAGCAGAAGACCCGAGTTCGATCCCCGTGTGAGGAGAATTTCAATACAGTACATGTATCTTGGTATTTTTTTATGAGATGTTGTATCCACCTCATCCCGGGTTAGCACTACAGGCAGGATCGAAGTCCGCCTTCTAAATCATCTAATTTGTGTCGATGGTGACGTGCAAAACACTTTCATTAGAAAAATAACGATAATAATTATTAATTTGCACGGAAAGAGTTAAAACCCGGCGGACCCGAGAGCACGCCTCAGTGCGCGCTACATTAAACTCTTCCGCACTCCCAGCGAGTGGACCAAAGAGCTCTTGTACTAAACGGGTTTTTCGTTTTTCTCCCCCC